GCCCTGCTTACTGCACCAGTAACTCCAAGTTTCTACAAGCGGTACGTAGACGATACTTTCACAATTTTACCATCAGACAAAGTAACTGCATTTTTAGAACATCTTAATTCCATAAACTCTAAAATTCAATTTACTATGGAGTTAGAGGCAAATAATTCTTTAGCTTTCCTAGATGTGTTAGTCATTCGAAATCCTAATAACACCGTAGGTCACACTGTGTATAGAAAAAAGACCCATACAAACCGATACTTAAACGGTGAATCCCACCATCACCCTTCACAGTTAGCTACCGTGGGCAAATCTTTGTTGCAGAGAGCACGAGGGATCTGTGACAGCAAACACCTGGCCGCCGAGCTTCAGCACGTCAAGCAGGTTCTGCACGACAACAAGCTTCGGGTTCCGCGCCTACGTCACAGTGACCGAGTGAAGCCGGCCACAGTCGAGCGTGTGCCTGCTGTACTACCATATGTCAGAGGTGTCACAGACAAGATTGGCTACATCTTGAAACGAGCTTCTATTAGAACATTCTTCAAGCCGCCGAAGAAGATTAGTCAGTTCTTACCATCCGTCAAGTGCAATATTCCTCTACAAGATGCAGGAGTATACAAGCTTGATTGTGAGTGTGGTCTCTCATATATAGGGCAAACAAAACGATCAATAAAAACCCGCGTAAAAGAACACATAGCTGACGTGAAGCACCAACGTTCCGGGAAGTCTGCAGTTTGTGATCATATACTAGACCGCCCCCGCCATTACATTAGATTTGATAAACCACAAGTCCTCGCGAAAGAACATCGATTCCTGCCAAGGATGATACGTGAGGCTATTGAAATTAAAAAACATCCTAATTTCAATAGAGAGGGAGGCTGGGTACTACCACCTGCTTGGGATCCTGTAATTCATAAAATTAAAACTAAACCCAAGCATACCACTGCAAGACTTCAAGACACAGTTAGTTCATTCTGCGTAGATCGGACCAAAATTAATAATTAAAAAGCTGAAGGTACTCTGGGTTAAGTTTGACATCGGGACGTCAATCACCTCAGTCCCCCGTGACCACGGTTGCTGGAAAGCAACCGAAACGTCGGGAATATAAAATAAGTTAATTAAACGCGATAAAATCCGTAAAAATAGTTTTATTCAATTATATATAATAGTTTTCAAGTATATATTTGTAATTTTATATGTTTATATTTATAAAAAATATATATTTATATTTCTTTTATTAAGAACAACATGTGTGTGTGTGTGTGTGTGTGTGTGTGTGTGTGTGTGTGTGTGTGTGTGTGTGTGCATTTATCTTATCTATGTACTTATATGCCATTCTGTATTTCTATTTTATGGCTTTAATAAAAATAATTTTATTATTGTCGCCAAAGCAAACACGTTTTTATTGTTTTCTTGCAATCCTGTCCATCCAAATGTTGTTTGGAAGAGATCTCTCTTAGCGAAAAGACCACCCATTGTACCACATTTATTTTTATCATTTTTTGTTAATATTTATGTTATTTTTTGGCGTACAATAAAGTGTTATCTATCTATCTATGCTTCCCATGGAATTTCCAAAAAAAAAAATATAAATACGGCTACGAAATTTTTGCAATTCTTAAAAATAATAATAAAAATTATTAAAGTCATCGAATAAGCTAAAAATATATAAGAGTAAGTAATTTTTAAAGGGTAGTAGGTAATAATAATCATATTGCGTACTGAAATACTAAGTATTGGTTAATTATTTAAGATTACCATATTTCGTTTTGTGGGAAATTTTAATTTTCCCCATCTGTAAGGATATTTAATGAAAGTTGATTTAAAATTGATCGTATTTTTCACTACTTAAATACATAAGTTTACATTATATAACATATACCTACTATGTATCTTCTTTGGCACAAGTTTACAATATTCCATTTCGGTTCGGTATCAACCCTAGCGTTACACGCACCGGCCTAATGTCACCGGCGCTTCAACCCTCACTTACAGAGAGTGTCACCGCTGTGGTATAGGTGCAGTTAAAATAATTAATATTTTTAATACGTTGATTTTTAAAATACGTCCGTCAGATTTTTTTTATATATACTCCAAATTCATAGTCTGGGGTAGGGAGTGTAATTTAATGTCTTGATGTTGGCAACGTAGCTTAGCTCCCTTTCATGCATTTACTTTTACTAAGGAAGCCCTGCCTATTAAACCTAGGGATTATACACTCTTTGTCAACAATTAACAAAGGTTTTGTTATCTTTTAGCACTTAATATTGCATTTTTAACGATGGTGCAATCATATAAAAGCAAGGTGCAGTTTTTTCATATTGCAACAAGTACCCATTTCTAATTATTTGAAGTTATATCGATGTTATAAATTGAGCAATATTTACCTATTTTTTTTATTCATAAATTACATGGGACCAATTTAAATAGTTGATATTTTTGAAATGTGCTATTTAAAATACATCTGTCAGTATTTTTTTATTTTATATACACTCCAAATTCGTAGGCTGGGTTAGGGCGGGTGTATTCGACACTTAACAGATTTGGTTTTATTAATTTTTAGTGGTAATTATTCTGGTTGTTCCTTTCGTATATTATTGTCTTTTAGGCATGGCTCTGAGCCTTACTGCTCGCCTCTGCTTCACGGCACTCTCGCAGATTACTTGCCTTCTTCTCGACTCATCGCAGACTACAAGGCAATCCTCGGCACTTGCTCCGGCTTATCGTTCTCACCGGCATCACTTGCAAGTGCGTAGTATGACATGCATTACACACCGGCATATCGTTCGCACCGGCATCACTTGCCCTTACGCACACAGAATGCATACCACACCGGCATTAAGGACACACCGCCAATCGGACTGCACTATCGACCTCCGGTCTGAGCAGGGGAGTGATGTGGCGGCGCTGTCGTCGCGCCATAAGCGAAACACATCGAAGCCTAAGTCGCGCTAACAAGGTTCTGAAGTTAAATCAGTATATATAGAATAGCTCCGAACTACCACTTGGAGCGTTGGCCGCTCCCCGGGCAGCACACCTTGCCCGGCGGGAGATCTCCACTTTTCCTTCCACCGGCTATATATAATTTTTTTATCCTAGAAATAAAGTTACATAGTGCTGAGATAGTTATTTGCATGTGGTATCCGCTTGTTATTTTGTACATTTTAGTTCTTATCGGTTCATTGTATTTAAATGGCATGTAAGCTTAGATTAATGATAAGTCATCGCGAGCTCTGACTAGATACCGCGCTGAACCGTTACCTGAAAGTAACATCTCCGTGAATGCGGCATCTTAATATTGTAGTGTGTATAAGACATTTTGCAAGATGCTAGTGTGCGTGAAAAATTGTATATGCCAGCAGCTTAACTATTACCCGATTAACGGGAAAATTTATTTTATGCTATGGCTTGGCAGTTAAGTTCATAGTTATGAATGTATTCCAGAAATACTTAAAAATGAATAGTTTATTAATAACGAATGTATCAATATATTTGTGTATATTATGTATAGGTTTTTCTTCTGAATAAATGACTTATAAATGATAAGGCCTCCTTTTTATCAGTTTAATTTTTTTATTTACATGTCTAACTAATATTCACAAATTCTTTAAAAAAATAGTTACATATATGATGTAATCAAAATATTGCTTTCTATTTCTATTCTACGCGTCAATATGAACAACTTTTACTATAGATCTTTCTTCGAAATCGCAAGAAAAATTAGGTCTGCCATACGTTTTGAGCAAGTTTGAACGAAATTTTGTATGGAATAACTGACATTTTTTAATGGATCAGGGTAATAAACGAGCACTCAGTCCACCTGATGGTAACTGGTTGCTGTGGCACATAGACATATACATCTATCCTCGGTTCAAAATGCAGATGCATTGCAACCCCTGAGGGCTAAGATGGAATACCTTATTTCCAGTAAAAAGGGTATCCGGTTCTCTACACTCACCATAAGAAACACAGCAGCGTTAAGTTGCTATTTTACGCTGGTATTCTGTGAGAGCGTGGTCCTTCTTCGGTCGAGCTGACCCATTCGTGCTGCAACTTTACCAGTAATATAGCTGCAGTATGGGTCTATCACGTATAAATTGAAAATTTCGAAGATGATCCCATAGTAAAAATTATTCATGTTGACGAGCAGAATCGTTCTCTAAGTTATTAAGTACTATTTCGTTACACCTCTGGTTAGTATATAAGACCGGGGAAAAAAGTTCCTTTGTATATTGTATACAAATTCAAGACGTTCTTGTTTTAAAGTTTTATTACATTTAATTATAATATATATATATATATATCTCAGTATTTTAACTTTATATATACTCCGAATTCGTAAGCTGGGGTACGAAGGTAACTGGGGGGATTTTTGTACATATCATTGCATTTTAAAAGTTTTTAACGATGGTGCAACTATATTCAAGCAAGGCGCAGTTTTTTATATTGCAAAAAGAAACCAATTCTAATTATTTGAAGTAGTATCGACGTTATAATGTGGGCTTGGAGCAGTTTAAATAATGAATATTTTTGAGATTTGCTATTTGAAATAAGTATGTCAGTATTTTTTTATATTTTTTTTATACTCCAAATTTGTTGGCTGGGGTGGGGGGTGTGGGGGTCAGATCGAAGCTAAATTCTTGACTAAATAGTGACATTTGTTTGATTTTCTAGTTAATCTGTGATTGAGATTAAATTATAAGCTAGATTAGAAGGGTTTTGGTCGGGAAAATGACCGTCGTCGGCGGATTGTTGTGCCTGTTTCATCATTTATTTTATCTATCATATATGCTTCGCAATTTGACGCATCGGCATTTATGAAGATTTTTGTAAACAAAATACACGTCCGACAAGGCTGTAAGGTCATAAATCCCTTTGCCTTTAAATAAATAAAAGTCAATAATATAAGCAAAACTTGAAAATTGTATTTAAATTTTATACCTTTAATGAAATTTATTCCGTAGAATTAAAGTTTTTTTTAGTGTTTAGATATATAATAAATTCTTGCATAAATGGAAACAATTCAAGACGGTCCAATATTTATCGATGTGAGTAGTGGACAGGAGCAAACATCTGAGGAATTTGTTCAGGACTCTGAAATAGAGACTGTAACAAATGATGATGAAAACCACAAACCTGAAGTGGAGTAAGTATTATAAAATCCTATGGTAAAATCTAAAACCAGAGGTCTTAAAACTTACTTCTTAAGCTTTTTTAAATGTCAACTTTAGGTAACTTCTTTCTTAATTTTTGTTTCTTTATGTATTTTTATTAATCTAAATAAATATACATGAATATATTAGCGAGAGTGCCGTGGTAGCTTGAGGCCTAAGCGGTCGCCTTATATTTCACAGTATGTGAAGAACTCTGGTTCTGTTCATACTGACACCAATGAAATTAGTGTCGATTAATAGACGGTGGTAGAGCCACGCAGCAGCTTTTGCTGTTGCACGTATGGGCCGGCTCGAGCCGGGTTAGTACCACGACCGGTACGGCTTTCCATTGACGTCAGTCGAGTTTGGTGTTGATACGTATTTTTACAGAAAGATTACATTTTTATAAGCACACACACAAAGTTTCAATATGCGGAAACACGTACTTATTGAGAAAAAATATTGTAAATCAAATAATTTTGCAATATTTAGTCAATTCCTACCGTGAAACTGATGAAATTTTTATTATTATTGTCAGTAGGGATGTCGATTCTTTCCGAAAAAGATCAATTTTTTAAATAGATTCAAATAGTAAGCTGATGTATCGATTCCCAAAAAATCAATTTCTAAAATATCGATATTTTTGTCATGTTTGCATTTATAATGTAAATATAAATCCATTAATGAGAAAAAAATCCCCTTCATCATAAAAAAATAAGGGGACTGATTCAGAAGGAATTCTGTATCTATTTTGAGACTGCTACGTCTCCGGCGCTGCAGGAAGAGCAGCCTCTACGCCTTAGCGTTACAGCAGGTGGAGGCTGCACCTCCGGCTCTATAAAACCACTCTAGGGGTAGGACAGACTCGTACCAGGTGGAGTCGGGGTCAATCAATTCGGTTCTTTGACATAAGTTGAACCTAACCTATTTTATTTGTTATCTGCCCTAATAGGTACTGTTAAATAAAACAAATTTCAATAAGAGATCATTTATCATGGTATCTTTCTTGTTTTTCATAAAATGGGTTTATATTTACATTATAAATAGAAACATTAAAAAAAATATAGATATTTTAGAAATCGATTTATTGTGAACCGATACATCAGCTTACGATTTGAATCAATTTAAAAATCAACCTTTTTCGGAAAGAATCGACATCCCTATTGACGTCGACAATAACATTACAAAATGGCGCCAGTTTTATGGTAGGATTAGACATAAACATTGCAAGAATAATTGATTTTCAATAATTCTTTTCTCAAAAATTACGCGTTTCCGCATGTTGAAACTTTGTGTGTGTGCTTAAAATTGTGTAATTTTTCTGTAAAAATACGTATCAACACCAAACTCGACTGACGTCAATGGAAAGCTCGTCACAGAATACCAACGTGAAGTGGAAGCTCTGCTTCTGCGTTTCTTCTGGTGAGTGCAGGTGACCGGAGGCCAAATCCCCTCCCCCCCATCAACATGGTAGCGGAATTACATCATAAACTACCCCAGGAGGGTACCAGTACCCCTGGAGAATCCCTCGCTGAGCATACACGACCATGCTATTCCACTCTTGAGTGTGGGTGCTCAGGCTGCCCCGCGTATTTTGGGGGGGGGGGGGGGCAAAATTCCGCTCAACACAATAACTGCTCTGGGCAAATTGAGCAACAAGACCAAGGCGACCCCTGCCATGCTATCCGTGAATTTCTGCAACATCAGGGGACTTCACTCGAACCTAAACGCCGTCCACTACCATCTCGAGACGGCGAAGCCGGCCTTGCTCTTTCTGACCGAGACGCAGGTGTCCTCTCCGGCTGATACTTCGTATCTCTCCTACCCGGGGTACAAATTGGAGCACTCCTTTGTGCCTCGGGCTGGAGTTTGCGTGTATGTCAGAGAGGACATCTGTTCTCGACGCCTCGGCAGTCTTGAAGGTTCGGACCTGTCCATCCTTTGGCTACGCGTAGACAGCGACGACCATCCGCGCGTCTACGTGTGCCTCTATAGGTCCCATAGGGGTAATGCCGAAACAGACCGACTCATCGACCACGTCCAAATGGCTACAGATTCCTTGCTACAACAGGTCCCATCCGCAGAGATCGTGATCCTTGGCGATTTTAACGCCCACCATGCCGAATGGCTCGGTTCACGTTTAACTGATCATGCGGGGAGATCTGTTTATGACTTTGCCTTGGCATATGGTCTGACACAACTGGTTACATCGCCTACGCGGATTCCAGATGTTGAGAATCATACACCTTCCCTGTTGGACCTTCTGCTGACCTCTCATCCGGACGGATATCAGGTTTCCGTCGATGCCCTTCTTGGCTCTTCGGACCATTGTCTGATCCGGAGTGTGGTGCCACTCACGCTCCCCTCGCGGTTGCGTTCTGCAGGTTGCCGCCGTGTTTGGCATTACAGGTCGGCGGATTGGGACGGAATGCGGTCTTTCTTTGCTTCCTACCCATGGGGGCGGGTTTGCTTCTCGCCGGATGATCCCAGCGCTGTTGCTGACTCTGTCACTGATGTGGTGCTACAGGGAATGGAACTATTTATTCCATCATCTGTGGTACCCATCGGAGGCAGATTTCAGCCTTGGTTTGGTCGCTCCTGTAAGACTGCATTACGCAGTAAGCAGGAGTGTTATCAAGCCTGGGCTGCGTCTTCGGTGACTCGGGATGTAAACACCAGCACACTTAAAAAGAAGTATAACTTCGCCTCCAGGTCCTTCAAAAGAGTTATTGCCAAGGCAAAGTCAAAGCACATAGGCAGAATTGGCGAGAAACTAGTTCGCCTTCCTTCGGGAACCCGTGCATTCTGGTCTCTCGGCAAGGCTGTCCAAGGGAATTTCTGTAAGCCATCATTACCATCTCTGCACAGGGAGGATGACTCACTGGCCCACGACGCAAAAGAGAAAGCCGACCTTTTAGGCTCCCTTTTTGCGTCCAACTCGACTGTTGATGACGGGGGGAACACACCGCCGACCATCCCGCGGTGTGAGTGCTTCATGCCGGATGTGCGGTTCTCACAGCGCTCGGTTCGCAGAGCACTCCTCTCCCTTGACATCCAGAAGTCGAGTGGGCCTGACGGAATCCCCCCAATTGTGCTGAGGACGTGTGCTCCGGAGTTGGCACCGGTTCTAACGCGTCTTTTCCGGTACTCCTATTCTCTAGGCGTAGTCTCGAAATCATGGAAGACAGCTTTTGTCCACCCGATCCCTAAAAAAGGCGATCGCTCAGACCCGTCCAACTACAGGCCTATCGCCATCACCCCCTTGTTCTCCAAAATAATGGAATCCGTTATAAACTGCCACCTCATGCGGTATCTTGAGGATCACCAGCTGATTAGTGACCGCCAGTACGGTTTTCGTCAGGGTCGATCAGCTGGTGATCTTCTGGTCTACCTGACCCATAGATGGGCGGAGGCAGTAGAGTCCAAGGGGGAGGCGTTGGCCGGTCTGGTCTACTTAAGCTTTTCCTGTCGCATGAATGGGCCGGCTCGAACCGGGGTGGTACCACGACCTCACAGAAAACCAGCGTGAAGTAGAGGTTTACCTCTGCGTTTCGCTTGGTGAGTGCAGGTGGCCGGAGGCCCTTTTTACTGGAAATGAGGCATTCCATCTTAGTCCTCACGGGTGACAGAGCATCTACATTTTGATTTGTAACAGAGGATAGATGTAGATGTCTATGGGCCGCAGCAACCACTTACCATCAGGTGGACTGTGTGCTCGTTTGTCACCCTTATCCTATAAAAAAAAATGGGCGGAGGCAGTAGAGTCCAAGGGGGAGGCATTGGCCGTTAGTTTGGACATTGCGAAGGCCTTCGATCGGGTTTGGCACAAAGCGCTTCTTTCGAAGCTCCCTTCCTATGGGCTTCCCGAGAAATTATGCAATTGGATCACCAGCTTTCTTGCAGATCGGAGCATCAAGGTCGTTGTAGACGGTGCATGCTCCGACTACAAGCCTATTAACGCTGGTGTTCCACAAGGCTGCGTGCTATCACCAACGCTGTTTCTTCTGCATATCAATGATATGTTGCAAGCCAGTAGCATTCATTGCTATGCGGATGACAGCACTGGTGATGCTCTATACACCGGCCGTGCCAATATTCCTCGGGAAAACGTCACCGAGTACCGGAACAAACTTGTGTCTGAAGTCGAGTCTTTGCTGGATAAAGTCTCGGATTGGGGGCGACTAAATCTAGTCCAGTTTAATCCTCAGAAGACACAAGTTTGCGCGTTTACCGCTAAAAAGAACCCCTTTGTCGTATCTCCTCAGTTTCAAGGTACTCCCCTTGTAGCCTCAACCAGTATCGGAATCCTCGGCGTCGACATATCGAGTGACGTGCAGTTTCGTGATCACTTGGAAGAGAAGGCCAAATCGGCCTTTAAAAAGCTTGGCGTGCTCAGCAGAGCGGGACAGTATTTCATGCCAGCTCAACGCCTGCAACTTTACAAGGCGCAGGTTCGGCCTCACATGGAATACTGTTCCCATCTCTGGGCTGGGGCTCCCCAGTGCCAGCTCCTTCCACTTGACCGCATCCAGCGCAGAGCGGCTCGAATCGTCGACAACCGAGTCCTTTCCGATCGGCTCGACTCATTGGCACTGCGAAGAGATGTTGCATCTCTTTGTATTTTCTTTCGCATTTACCATGGGGAGTGCTCTGAGGAATTGTTCGGATTAATCCCAGTCGCCAAATTTCACGAACGCACATCGCGGCAGAACTCCCGATACCATCCACACCATCTGGATGATTGGCGGTCCACCGCTGTGCGATTTAGAAGATGTTTTCTTCCTCGCACAACTTCCTTGTGGAATAGTTTACCACCAGCGATTTTTCCGGACCGATACGACTTAGGGACCTTCAAGAAAAGAGCCTGCTTCTTTTTAAAAGGCCGGCAACGCATCTGCAATTCCCTTCCTGGTGTTGCAGTTGTTCATGGGCGGCGGTAGTCACTTACCATCAGGTGAGCCACATGCTCGTTTGCCCCCTCTCCTATAAAAAA